TAATTTATCAAATTGAGCAATAGAGCCATTGATTCATACGTTTCCTTCATATTAACGGCATGAGCTAATGGAATAGAAGGTTTCTCATTCCCTTGATGCAGTAAAACGGCTTTCAAGCTCAACTTGCTGCTATCGATGAATAAACGCCATTCAGCTGGATCATATGGCTCACCAAACTCTTCAAACAAGCCGTTTACGTCATGGCAAAAACATGCCTTGTCCTTTGTAGAATAATATTTGTCAAATTTCTTGTGACGATTCCTGTGACAAGAAATTTTGACCTCCTTGCTCAGCATGTTGTGTTCTTTCAAGCGTGATGCCAGTAATTCGGATTTCTCCTTCGATAAGTCGAGATCTTGCACCAAATCATTAAATTCGGATTGTGTAAACAGTTTTGGGTTTCTTTCCAATTCCACCTCGAAGTCTTCCTCGCATTCCTCCTTGAATTTCTCCTCACTTTTTGTAACGGTCGATTCAACAGAGGGCGCTCGTTTCCGCTTTGGATAAACAGGATACGGGACCGAACTTGAATGTGGAACAGGTTTTGTCATAGAAGCCACTTGTGGATACTCAACTGTTTTGTGACGTCCTTGTTGCTTAACTTTTGTCAAGCAGAAATAACAATCCGTTGCATGACAAAACGGTCGACGCCATATGGTGGGCATGTCAAAGGACAAATAGCGACTGACAGATAACAAATAAGTGAGTTAGTAAGTAAGACATTAACACTTATCAAAAATAGATGAAGTAAGATAATGTCGATCAGGAAAGAACAAAGCACTACCATGCTGTACATAAATTGTTTATATGAAAGTTATTCAAAAAATCAATTTACCTTGCGCCTGACATCCACCTAGCCAAGCACGTTTTGCACGAACTACATAATACTTTTGGAATCCACGGTTCGTCAAAGTCTCCAGGATCAATTTTAAAATAAAGCCTGTATGCAGTTTGCAACGAAGCAGTGAAATTGACCGATTTTGTAAATATATAGTTGCCACACGCGTAACAAAACTTTTGAGGATCATTTTTACACTTGAATTCACGTTTTGCCGTATACATCGTTAAGCAATGTTAAAGAAAGAAAGCTGTCAAATTGAGTTGGTTGCGTTAGGTTCTCGCCGAGCGGTCTCACAAACACTAGCGTAAATTATATTGTTGAAGATATCCCATTTAATTTTGCGTGACAGCTGGTAGTGTTAGTGAAATGCACCGTATGCGTACACGTCCGCAGAAAGGCTTACTGGAAGTGGTGCATGAACCTAGGAGCGGGACAACGGCCAATCTTGGAACATTCAATTTCCATGATTTTACAAAAAATTTCATAACTTCGACAATTTCCAACCGATTTCATCCATTAAAGGCTCATTTTCTCCAGTTTTTAATGGACTTTAAGAATAAATTATGAAATGATTTTTTGAATCCTTTTATCTCATTAAAAATGTTGATTAAAACAAGATTTTTATGGAAAATTCGCAGGAAAAAAAAATGCTGTAAATTATTAAATGACTTCAAAATTAAATTTTTAATTAAGACATAATAAGACATGAAAGATATTTATTTAGCTTCACTTTCATGAAAAAAAGATTTAAAATTGGTACACTAGTTTCAAAGATATTGACATTTTAGTAATCGTACTTTTGTCCAAAATTCAAAAAATCAAAATTTTTGTATACCTCAAAAATGGCTCTACTTTAATTTTTTCTGACCACGGCATTGAATTCAGCGTAGGATTTTGCATTAGAAACGTTGGTCAACCACTAAAGTTCACACTTTTTATGTTGTTTTGTAAACTAGTGTAATTGAGAGATTTACAACTGACAAGAGAGTTTTTGCGCTCTCTTTCTCCATTACTCTCTTTGCCTAGCAATCAGATATCCAAGTGCACGCTTTAGGCACCCATACATCACAAATGTTCTTCTAATTTAAACGCACACATTCATACCGGTCTGCAAATATGATACACGTCCAAAGTGTACCAGACTGCTGTTTCCGTGTTGCTACCGTTTGACGCGTGACTGCTGAAAGTTTCAATTACAACTAGTGGTGCAAACCGCCATGTATTGTGGAAAATTTGTGGTATGTTTCAAGAGGGTATAGAAGGTCTGCTTGGCTTACATCAGACATTGACCATTCACAAACTTGCTACCCGCCACCCAAAAAAGCTCGCTTTAGGTGCACATGCTTAGAAATCAATGCATTAAGGATTAGGCAGACCATCCCAACTGAATTTAATCCTTTTTGAAGCAAACCAAGGTCGAAGATTTAATTGAGCCACACCATAAAACAATGTATTCATGGTCACATGTGGTCTGGAGTAAAGAAGTACAGCTATAATGTGACCATTAAATCTATAAAAATCTTAACGCATTTTTTAAAATTATTTACACCTGTGTAGTGCACAGGTTGCACATGTGGACGGGACGCCACTGACGTTACTTAAGACCTAATGCAGGTACTTTATTTGAATTGAGATACTTCATTTGAAAATTTATTAGGTATCCCATTGGATCCACCTATGAATTTTATATGTAACAGAAAGGTATAAGTTTCTGATCGAAATGACGTTGAGATTAACTGCGAATACCTGCAAACCTGCAAAGATAGTGTTAAAATATTATAAAAACGGATGTAAAGCCTTAAAACGAAAAGATTTCGATTTGCTTCCTTCTAAAAAAATATGCATCAACTTTTCAGAACATTAAAAAAGTGGTAAAATTCAAACAAAAGTTAAGGGTTGTGTCCAAAGCACGACCGTATTGTTGACGTAGAACTACGAGATTGTTCTGCTCCATTCACTAATATATTAATAACAAAATAAATGGTCATTATTCAAATTTTTGAAATTGGGCCTTTATTGAATAAATCCTAAAATTAGGCTTACCTTTGGTCGCTTTCTTGTTAGCTCGACACATTCAAACGTATTCAGCAACGGTTTGCGTCTGTTTCACAGATTTCCCTGCCACCTGGTCTCTCACGTGCTTCCGATAATCGCGGAGATATTTAGCAGCCATGTGTTGAGACATTTTGAAGATTTTTACAGAATTTCTCAATAGACACTTGTTTCACTTCGAATATTGACTCTATCCAACGCGGAGTGTAAACACTGAAGCACTTACTGTACCAATTGGAATTTACAGAGAATGCAACAACGCATAATCACGGCGAGCCAGACGACGCATGGCGGTTATCGCGAAGAACCTTGTGATGATGCTTGGCGCCTCCTTTACCAAAAACCTTTTCCTCCTTTGCCACTACCAGTCATTGTTGCTTACTTTGTAGAAGAGTGGACTACCTAACACGCCACCACCTTCCTACTGCTGCTTTTGATACTTATGCTGCCTGCTCACCATGACGTCCGAAGCGAAAATGACTTGAGGCTACTTCTAAAATGTTTGTTTATTTACTTACTGTCTTGTGGTGTACAATTATTGTACATTTCAATTGATTTAGCCCGAAAGCTCGACATCTTTGGTGATTATGTCTATAACAAGTTACTGTTTGATTTTAGTTTGAATTATCGTTTGAGAGAAGTCGGCGGTGGGGGTCGGGAGTGACAGTTGCGTTGTAGCGAGCTATACCTGTATTATGTTTTCAAATAGAATTATAATCCAAGTGACTCGATTTGGATGACTTGGTTTGGGACGAACGTGTATTTCATGAAAACATTGATATACTTATCACTTTTTATTTTTACATTGGACAATGCTTGACATTTTCACTTTTTCAATAGTTTTTTTTTGTTAAAAGTCATCAGTCGGAAGCATTGTTATTGATGCGTATAAATATTTCTGATCGATTGGTCATAAAATTATTGAAATTGGTCCAGGGGCAGCTGAGTTATTAATGTTCAAAATCTTTCATAATTTTGTTACATGTTCCATTTTCGGTTTCCACAAAGTGTACCTCCATATAGAAATCCCAGACATAGTCCTACGTCAAAAAAATTATAATAGAAAAACGCTTTTTAAGGAGGTACTACCGTTTGTACTCCATTTTCATGAAGAAACATTCTAGATGACATCAAAAAGATCCACTCAATAGTTGCGTCGCAAACATCCATGTCCCACTTTTTTTTGATTTCGTCTCACTGTGCGTCACCGAAATTGATCATAAAACTGTGAAAATGGTCTTTAAATGCCAAAAACAGCTTTAAAAGAGTCAAAATGGCCCAAAACGCCTAAATGTATCTTCTACGAATATACTGAGATGAATAGCAACGGGTAAAATAATTTATTCCCGCTAAATTGCCGTTTCGTACCATAGTTCACTGTGCAGTGCGCAGAAATTAGCCAAACCGTAACTTAATTTTATATACCTAGACCTAGACTACTTTCACAGACAATTCGATGGATTGAGAAACACTATGCTACATAAATGTCTACGGATTCGCATCTTTCAAACATAAACATGTACAAAGCATCGTAACATCCCTCTCGGTAGCTCATCAGAACTGTCTATCGACTAAATACCTACTGAAGTATTTCGCATGCTCTCTTCGAATAGATCCGAACTTAGCTGCACACGGGTGTGGTGGCGGTGGGGTGGGACCTTCCGTTCGAGTCACCACCATAGCTCAGAAACACGAACCACTATTGTTTTATCATATTTATACTGCATACTACTACTGCTTCAGTCTGGATTCGGTTTCCCACGGTACGACGGTATTTGCGGTGGGCAGGTCGCAAATCGCGTGTCCACATTCACATTAGCACGATCGAAATCCCCCCATCCTCGTGGTGTCCCCTTCTTCGACATCCGAATCGCGTTGACATTAGAAGGTATTGTGGTGTGGTGTTCGCTACTTTTTTTTTAATTGCTCGGGCACCCGAAAGTATAGTGCCGCGCGCGCGTTGCTCTCCTAATTCATGTTCGTGTGCATGTATGGATGGGGCGCAGTTTGATGCGACCGTGATTTTTAGCAACTGAGTAAAAATAAAATCCGAGAAAAAAACGGGCATACTGCTATCGTCCGTGGATTTTCTTTTGCGCGCGTGAGTTCAATCGGAACGGTCGATCAGTCGGTGGCGCTGAAGAATAACGACGACGACGACGACGACGCTCATGCTACTAATGCTTATGTAAAGTTTTGCGCAAAGTGACGGAAAATCAATGACCGGATTCGGGAGTGTTTTTGTGCAAGATAAAGTGCTGAAATAACTGGTGTCAAAGTTCTGTGATCGTGCTCTCCTCCACTTTGGATTCGCAAAAAGATACATGGTAAAGTCGTTAGCTTGGGGGAAAAGCTTTTGCCAGAGTGGATTGATTTATGATCGACTGGAGTGCAGCTGGAATACGTAATCCAATCAGAGACAACAGTGGCAGAAGAGTACATATAAAAGTTTCTCGTTGTCGAGAGAAGCGGAGGAAATCGTTGGCCAATTGCTTGCACCGAAAGGAGTATATCAGAAAAAGTGAGTGAAATATTGTGGCTAGAGGTATAGACTACAAATGTTGGTACCACTTTAAAGTTATTACAAAAACATGCTGTTGAAATTTCGATCATTTGGACAGCGTCCAAATAATCTTTAGTACATAACAAACTTTCGCATAATAGAATTTAATAGACGACACAAACTCGCAGGCTAATTTCGCGAACCCGGTCAATGCTTGATTAAGTTTTCGAATCGGGTGTAATTAAGTTGATTTAATTCTGGTGATTTAGCAAGCCACCTCCCTGCTCTCCACATTGAGACCATCCACTAATGAACGAGAAGCGAGAGACGTGTGATCCTTGACCTGAGTTGCTTGCTCCCTGCCATGTGACTCCCCCGACTTGTGTACGTTTCATTTCCATCATTTTGCGCATTTTTCCGAAACCGTGCTTGATTCTAAAGGATAAGGTAGATGCTAAATGCTTTACACATTTCTAGGTCATTTCTTGACTCATTTGTCACATTTCGAAGCGGTCGTGGTTTGTTTTGTATTTTTATTCAATACATGATCGACGAGCGGGCCGGGATGCTAATGATGGACGTTAATTATTTCGATGCATTAGCGGTTAGTGGGATTTTGAGGCGAGATGTTCGATTATGAGTAGCTTGGTTGTGGTTTTTGTTTTTCAACTTGTCAACACATGTTCCATAAAACTTGGATATGATTCAAAATGTTTATTGACTTGTAATTGAAAAGCGGTAATTGGAACATGTGTGGGATATTTTTATTATAAATACAGTTATTACCCGATTTTGTCAGCCCATCCACTCATCAGATCTATATCTTACAATAATTTCACACAACCGTAGTTCTGAATCTTTCTCGTTCATCTTTAAGATGGATGTTTAAGGTATACATTGGTGCAATAAAACCAGTTGGCATTGGTTTCGTAGAACATTAGAAGGGAGCTGGCAAAATCGGGTCATTACAGCTGCTGGCTTATTTGGCAATGGCAGTTTGTACAGCGAGCCGAACAAAGACGATAAATTGTCAGCATCCCACGCTATCATTTTTTTTTTTACGTAGCACTACGTCTGTGATTTCTATATGGGGGTACACTTTGTGAAAACCGAAAATGGAACATGTAACACAATTATGAAAGATTTTGAACGATAATAACTCAGCTGCCCCTGGACCAATTTCAATAATTTTATCACCAATCGATCAAAAATATTCCTATGCATCTGTTAAAGTTAAGACTTTCTCATTTTTCAAAATTTCAATATTGAAAATTGCAAGAATGTACAACTGTTGCTATGATAATTCAAATTACCGATTGACTTTTAAAAGCGATTTCCCTAACACAGAGTTCAAAGTTGAATTTCATCCGGTGTCACCAAACGATGTTTATTCAATCACCGCGTGGTGAGTGGTGGTGTTCTCCAGTTCACAACGAAAGCCTGCCTGCAAGGAGCGAGCTGCAGCCCACATGGAGGAAGAAACCGCACAGCTATTGATCGGAATCAGTAGCTCTTCGTGAGTCGCTGTGGCTCATCTATGTCAAGCGCGTCATACTAAAGAGTATAAACAGAGAGAACCCCACTCAAATTCCAATTCGTACACAAAATACAAGCTCCTGCTTCAGTTAACAAATAACATTTATTATATAGAACCACGTAGTCCTACGTCACCATTGCGTACAACCCCATAGGGCTGTTCCTTGAAGTTTTTCATCTTAGAAATGATGATTAATTTCAAGACTGAAGAGAGGGTACAGTATTTTCGATATCAGACATTGACAGTTTGCAGTCCTTTGTCATGTTCTAAGAATGTTTGTTCTGAATCGAAAAATAAATCATAGTTTCAGATTTTGAAAAGTGTGTTATTATGATAAATGAGGCATCGCTGGACATGAATCTAAGAATACTTAAATTCAACAGTAAGTCATGATTTTTATTGACCGAATAACCAAGGTGGCCACTGGGTTAAACGAAATCAAATTCCCATTATTATTATTTTTCCTGTTTTTCAGAGAACATTCTCCATGAATTCGGAGGAGGATTCAAAATTAATTAACACTACGACAAACTTAATTATGATATGGATACAATTCCGATCCTACCTCTCATGATCACCTACGGATGAAATTGTTAATAATTCAATCATTCAATCATGGAATTCTGAGGGGACCTCCAATTGAATATTGGCAATAATTTCTAGAGAATCTAATTCTTTACAAAATTTCAAGCTAGTTTGAAGATAGTTTCAAGGCAATTTCTAAGCCTTTTCGAGGTACGTTATTGGTACAATATCTGCCTCCGCACCCTAGTACTGATATTTTTTTATTATAGTCACTTTAACGCACTTGGGTCATTCGTGACTTGTCTGGGGGTGAGATTTAAACTCGTGACTTTGGCGTGAGAGGTATGGATGCTAACCAATACGCCGTGGTCGCCCCTGTACTGAAAATTTCAAACTAGGGAAACAGGATTTTTTTTTTCAATAATTAAAAGGAATACATGCTAGTCCTTGTCACTTTTTATGTGTTGTTAATAGTGAAATGACTAGAAGAAGAAGTAACAATGCCTGTTAAATTGGGAAGTTAGTTTAAATTAAATTCAAAATTCAAATTTCTTGAAAGAATTGATACTTTTGATAAGCTTCTCTGTGTACATTGATCAGTGCTTATCTAATATAGTGCAAGGTAAAAGCGGCTCTTGCTGAAATTTATTAATGAACTCGGTGGCAAGTTGCGTAAAATGGACTTGTGCCTAAACGTATTTTATAAAACGGGTGCATTTTCGTGGTTTTTAGTTTTCGGATTTGAAAGATTATTATTATTATTTATCTTTATTAGGGAGGCTTTCAGCCTTGGGCTGGTTCGCCTCCAGAATTTGAAAGATCGTCGGTTGCATATTTAAAAGATTTATGGTCAAATCGCTAGTTTATCGTGTATTTTGTGAAACTCGTCGTCGTCGTCGGTGCCGGGTTTGCATGGTTACAACAATTCGAGTAACCGTATGATGTGATATGAGGGGCTCGGTGACCTAAGAGCTTATTCATCCGTTCACCATGAGTCTAATCTCAGGTCCATACACATTCAAGATTTGCCAATAGTTTTATTTATTAATATGACTACATAGTAATAGCAACAATCAATACGAAACTAACGATTTTAAATTGGCTCACCACTTTAGTAGCCTATTGGTCCCAAGCAAACGATTAACGTACCCTATTCTAGTTGAAATTCTATTACTACACTATGTTTGTTTTGATTCGCTATGAAAGTTTGACAGATAACATCAGGGGTGTGTGGATTCATGCAGAACATGCAGGGGTGAGTGAAATAGCTTGGGACTGCTTGGGACCGTTGTTCTGGTACTGAGTGAGCCAAAAATAATAATGATTTTCTTCGGGACCCAGTGGTCTTAGAGTTACCTCTATGGTAATAGCAGCAACTCGATGATTAAAAAGGAGCTCGATTGCCTAGTGGCAAACGTTTTTGCTTACTGAGCAGAGGACCGTGTGTTCAATCCCAAGCTCCTTCGCGATATATGATCGTTAAGTCATCGTTTACCAAAACGAAACCTGCTGCAAACCCAACCCTTTTATCCAACATCCCAGTGATTCCTCATGGAAGTGCAGAGAACTCCTCGGCATCCATCAAAGCGAGTGTTACGTCAACACATTTCTACCCATTCCTTTCTTGACCTACGTTCCGGCGCGGCTGACGCTGGTATTGCCTAGTTGGAGATCACCAGTTTTTGCACATTGAGGATGAAATATAGTACCAAGCATCGTCTATTGGTTCTCTGTGTAATTACAGCTGATCTGGCAATAACAGAGTAGCAGCATGCTCAGAATTTCATCATACTTTGCATAACTGTTGGCTATGGGCATTAGCAAATTTGTGCTGGAATTCAGCCATTGTGATTTGGCATAATTTTTGTATAAATTCGATATGTTCCAATAAACCACACCACGGAAACAACTCATCTAATTAATTTGACGTTTGGGACAACGTTGTAGGAAACTGAATTTACTTTTCACAAAAACGAAAAATATCCTTAAAAAAATCAAAATTTAGGTCAACAAATGAAAAAAATCAAGTCATTTTTTTAAGAGAATAATTCACAGGGAATTTTAAGCATTAGGGGCAATGAATGTAATGTCAGCCTAAATGCCTCTAACTTGAGCCCATACATAAATTCAGCAATCGACTACATTTTCAATAGCGACCAAAATATCTTTTAGTACCGTCCCAATGACGCGTTCATCTAGATAAAATTGATAAATAGCAGATTGTTAGCGATGGGCCCAATCTTAGATCCAACAACAGACCAACATTAGAGCCATTTCCCCTATTTCATCCACATATAGAAGTGGCGTTCCAGAAGATTCTGCCGAAATTTCTAATTCTAAGGAGAGTTTCATGAGAATCCCAAATATAAAATTCAAAGAGATACTCTCAACGGTATTTTGAAAAAATAATTCCTAGGAATTCTGAGAAAAATCCCATGAAAATACTTTCTAAATTCTAAAAGGCATATCCAGTGATTTCAGAAGAACATTCCAAAGGAAATTAATGGAAAAGTATGGAGAGAAATTAATGTAAATGTAAAGCAGTCGAATTTCGAACTAGTAACTCACTGTTTTTTTTTTTTTTTCATTTGTGCGCCCCCGCTCACCTCAAATCCATGCACCCATACATTGTAAAGAATGCATTGCGCATTTTTCACTACTGTAGGATTATTTTTAGCGCATGAGTGTACCTTGGTGTAAAATGCGCAATATCATTGCATGTAAACACAATTCAGTTCCTTCTTATTGACACTGGGATATAGGTAAAAGGGGTCTGAAATTAGCTGACTATAAAACTTAAAAGTACGAACTACTAAAATACTAACATTATAAAGAGAGATAGAAGGATTAGTAATTTCCATTTAAATCCACTACCTTATTTGCTTGTCCTTGACAGATTCGCGTATTTCGTCTACAATGTAATAACAATCGAGTATTTGTACAAGACACTGAAGAA